AGTTTCTCATTTCTTTGTGGTTTATATGCACTGTGTACTTGGTTATTCCTCTGAAGTATTTATGATTAAGCAAGATATGACCCCATAAAAATGGGATTACAAGCATGGTAGGACACAAACATCTGTCATTTGATCAATTAGTTTTAAAACGTCTGCCCATGGTTTTTAAAGTCCACCAAATTTCTATTTCCTTAAAAGATTTCAGCTTCCAAAAAAAAAAAGATTTCAGCTTCTATTTTTATACCAAATGAACAGAGTTTTAGAGAAGTTTTATTGAGCCCTAATACTATAGTAAACACACATATAAGAGGGCTTCAAAAAGTTTGTAAAAAGTGGAATTAACTGTCTTTGAAGCTCCATGTGTATGAATGTGCAATTCATTGAAATGTCCATTTCGGTGTCATGTGAAGCTAGCACGACAGTCAGAACTGTGAAAATAGCAGTGTGCTCAAAAGATCCTTTCTGCTTCTTTGTACGCCGCCCTTTCTCTGACCTGCTTCGTAGTACTATAGTTTGAACACTTGATAGAGTTTTGTATAATGGATCATATATACTGTAGTCTTTTTATCCTGACTAATTTTAGAACTTGACATACTTCCTTCTTAACACAATGTCACATTTAGTATATTTTGGAAGGAAAAATGAGTTGAAAAAGAATAATACTGATCATCTATCAAGGGGTCACGAGGGTCAGGCTGGAGGGGAGGGAGGGGAAAAAGAGGAACTGATACGAAGGGTCTCTCCTGATAACATGTCCAAACTACTTCTCACCATTTTCACCTTGAAGGAGCATTCTGTCTGTCCTTCCTCCAAGACAGATGTGTTTTGTTCTTCGGTCAGTCTGTGATGTTCAGCATTCTTCCCCCAGCACCATAATTGAAAGGCTTACATTTTCCTCCACTTACCCTCAGTCATTGCCTAACATTCACATTTATATTAAGCAGTGGAAACTGCCATTGCTTGGATAAGGCACACCTTTGTCCTCAACATGGCATCTTTAACCCTTTAATGTGGTCTTGTGCAACAGGCTTGCCCAATGCAGTATGTTATTTTCTTGACTGTTATTTCCACAACTGTGGGTTGCAATCCTGATCTTCATTAGCAAGGGCTTCAGGTCCTTCAGGTTCAGCCAGCCAGGTTGTGCCAGCCAGATTGTGTCATTTGCATATCACAGGTTGTTTAGAAGTCTGCCTCCAATCTTAGTGCCACACTTACCTTCTTGGGGTTGGTATCTCAGTTTCATTTTTACTTGGATTTCCTTAGTAACTGATTAGGTTGAACATCTTTTCATGTACTTAGTGAAGTCCTTCACTCGTTTCTGAATTGACTTATTTATTTGTATTTCTGCTGTTTAGTTGTAGGGTTTTTTATATGTTCTAGATTTTAAGTTCATCGTATATCAAATATTTTATCATTCTACAGGTTTTCCCTTCACTTTCCTGATAAAATCCTTTCATGCACAAATGTTTTTATTTTTGATGAGTCCCAGTTTATTTGTCCTTCTGCTTGTGCTATTGACGTAGCCCTCCTGGTTTCTGATAAAGTTAGAAAAGCAGTTCATTGAAAGAAAAACAGCCTTTCCAACAAATGTGTCAGACTGGGAGTGGGCAGACTGTTGAGATGGGAGAACCAGCCCTATCCGGCACAACTATGTAAAACTTACTCCAGAGCCATGAACATATTTTTACAAACAAATGAGATCGCCATTTTCTGAATAATATCCTTAGAATCTTTTCAATTTTACTTCAGAGCTGCATGTCCATACGGAAAGAGTTGCCGTTTGATGAACCTTGTGCTAGAGTAACTGCGTTTTAAGCATCAGAAAAATGAACCAGAACTTAAGTTGTCATAAGTAAGCCTTATGCAGATTCACTCAAGATTGGCCAGCGACTTTAAATTCAAAGTCCAAAACTATTGTTTTGTTGGAGGGCGGTGGGACGAGTAAGTATTTGTTGCTTTGATAAAAAATTCAACTTGAAGTGAAAGGACAATCCATAAATGAAGCATTTTGACTTTTCACACTTCATTAAAATTAAAACCGTAAGCATTGCATAAGACCCTATTAAGAAGATGGAAAGTGATGCTTCAAAGTATGAGGCAATTTTTCGAGCTGATGTAGCTGATAAAGGACTTGCCTTATATATATGTAAAATTTCAAGATTTAACTTGCTAAAACCTAATTCTAAAATATGTATACACTTGGAGAGTCAGTTCACTACAGAAGACATACTGATGATAAATAAGCACATAAAAAGATTCTCAATATCATGAGGGAAACATAAATTAAAATTGCAATGAGCTATGACTACATGTGTATCAGAAAGGCTAAAATTGAAAAGTGGGGACAGACCATCATAAAAGCTGTGGAGGATTCAGAGAAATATGATCGCTCGTGCATGGCTGATAGAAATGAGAAATGATACAGCCATACTGGAAAAATTTAGTGGGTTTTTATGAACTTAAACTACCACCACAACCCAGCAATTTTCCTGTAGGTCATTTATCCCAGAGAAATGAAATCTTATATTTACATAAAAATTTATGCACAAATAACTACCCACAGCAACTACAAAGAGCAGGTCATTATGGGAAATTGACATGATGTAAGATAGGGGCCACACCTTTCAGCAGCAGT